CCCCACCGAACTGGCTCCCCGCTAGGCTCCGAGCGTCGCCATTTCTAACCGCCATTTCTAACGTCAGGTTGGCGCTCCTTGTTCTTTTGTACAGGAACAGACGTGCTTGCTCCACGCAGAAAGCCAAGCAACATTGCCACCGGGCGGCCAGCGTGTACGAGGGCTTGTGACGTGGGTCCCCGACTAAGGCAGGCAGACCTCTATTTTTAGCACGGGAGTTGTGTCTATATTGGGCCTAGCTGCTGCTGGCCTCTCACCAAGGCTCAGATGGGAGCCAAGGTCACAGCACAGGAGGGTGTTTTACTCTGGGTTTGGCTTCTCTAGAGCTGGCCAGCCAGCATGGACCCGTCCCCGCGCACAGCAGTTCAGGCGAATCCTGAGCGTGACGCCATCCTGGAGGTGGGAGAAAAATGCTTTCTGGTCAACCGGTGGGCACTGGCCCGCCACAGCTGCTATTTTGAGGCCATGTTCTTTGGTGGCACCCGGGAGAGCGTGGAGCGGCACATCCGGATCGGGGGGATCGAGGCAGAGCCCTTTCAGGCGCTTCTAGACTTCACCCGGACGGGCAGCCTCTGCATCGCCCCCGGCAACGTCGCCAGCCTTCTGCAGACAGCCGACTTCCTGCGCTTTGAGGCTGCCAAGAGGCGCTGCGAGGTGTTCCTGGAAAGGGAGCTGCACGTCTCTAACTGCCTCAGCCTGAGGGCCTACGCGCAGCACTTCGCCTGTGTGGCGCTCGCTTCTGCCGCCCTCAACGTGGCCCTCACCCACTGGGCCGACGTGGTGGCCCACGGAGAGGTCGAGGAGCTGCCCAAGGAAACCCTGAGGGAGCTGCTACAGAGCGACGAGCTCTTTGTGGCCCGCGAGGACCTGGTCTTTGACACCGTGATGCAGTGGGTTGTTGCGGACCTGCCCGGGAGGGCCGAGAGTTTCCTGGAGCTGGTGGGCCTGGTGCGGGTCCCCTTCCTCAGCCTCTCCTTCCTCGACCACCTGGTGAAGCGGAGCCAGCGCCCTGGGCTGGACGCTCCTGCCCAGCTGCTGAAGGAGCTGGACCGCTGTCCGCCCCCCAGCTGGAAGGACGTCGCCCAGGCCCCCTGCGTCAGCCGGAGCTACGAGACCCTCTTCGTGGTCGCTGGGAAGCGCGACCAAGAGCAGCAAGAGCTCTTCCACTTTCTGCCCAAGGCCGGAGTGTGGCGAGCTTGCTCGCCCCTCAAGCGCAGAAACCTCACCCAGTACGCTGTGGCTGCAGTGGGTAATGCTCCTTCCCTTGGGGGGCTGCGTGCGTGTGCGTGTGGGGGGGCTCTGGGCTGCAGCCCCATAACAGGCAGGACCAAGTGCTGTTTACTGAGAAGGAAGGGCCCAGGAATAACCCCGCAGCGCCCGCTGCCTTGCTCAGTCATGGGCGAGGGAGACAGTGGCGCTCTCAAGCAGGGGGGCTATCTGGCGCTTGCTCCAGGCTCCACCGCAACCGGAAAAGCCCTTGGGGTCTCTGGTCTTCAGCCTGGTGCCTCGCTTGGCAGTTGCCCAGGCAGGGAACTGGGAGGAAGTGGGAGCTGGGGTTTGAAACGGGGGCTTGGCTACAAGTGCGGAGGGGCCCCAGTCACCGCCAGGTACAATCAGCGCACACCGGTGAGGGTCCTCTGAATGCAGTTCCCGGCAGAAGCAACAACAGGATGGCAGTTGCTCCGCTTCTGGGGGGCCGGGGGCCAGCTTGCTTCCGGAGCAACGTGGACGGAGAAATCAGACGGGCCCCTCTTATTTTCAGAGCGTGTGAGGATAAGATAAAGGCATGTTCAGAGACCATTAGGCATGGTGGCCAAATAGGGAACTTATGTGTTCAGAGGCAGTCTACCTTGTAATGCCAGCACTTGGATGACTGCTGCCAACATGGCTTGGCTTTGACATTTTGCCCCAGCCAGGGCTCCCGTTGCTCCCCGCCTTCCCCGCTTTAGGATGCCCAACATGGTGGCATACGATGGATGGGGTGCTGCTAGGTTTACTGCTCAGTCAGAAACACAGGAACCCGCTCCGCCTGTGCCCTTGCCTGTGCTGACAGGTCCAGGGAAGAGAAAGCGACGGGGGGCGGGGGCGGGGGGAGCTATTTCTCCATGCCAGGAGGGAGCAGCCCAAATTTTTTGGCTTCGCCTTTTCCCGCCTCATCCTTTCTCTGTGGTCTCTCTGCAGGCAATTTCCTCTTCGTGACAGGAGGAAACTTCCGCGAGGAGTTTTTCTGGGCCCCTGTGGACTGGGTTTTGATCTACAACAGCTGGGATGACAGCTGGCAGGAGGGGCCGGCCATGAAGGAAGCTCGCAACAGCCACTGTGCGGTGGGGGTTGGCTTCCACCTGTACGTGATGGGGGGAAGTGCCCCAGAAGGCATCACCCCCAGCGTTGAGCGCCTCGCCCTGGCAGATTCCTCCTGGGAACCCACCAGTCCCCTGATCCATCCCGTGGAACGAGCCGGAGCTGCCGGTGTGGGGACACGGATCTATGTGGTCTGCGGCCTGGACGAGAATGGGGACGTGTGCCGGGCAGTACAGCGGCTGGACGTGGAGACGGACATGTGGGATGTTGTTTCTTTCTCGCCACTGCCGAGGTGAGGCTGGGCACAGCTTTCCTGTGGCCTTTTGGGGGGGGGGGTTGCCAAGAGCCCATTCTCTGACTTCTGGGTGCCTTGAGGACTTAGAAGTCCCCTGGTTTCTTGTGTGGCCAAGGAAGAAAGGAAGTTGGGACTCTGTGAGGAAAAGTCAAAGAGGAGACTTTGGGGACCATTCCAAACTTTCTGGCCTCCGACATTCCATCATTGGCAGATGATTCCTTACCTCATGCAGGTTTGAGATAGAGAAAGATGAAGCTGCTTTCAGAAAGCACACCCAAATGGGAGTCCCAGATGTGGAACTCCCCAGTACCTCACTCTCTCCTCGACAGGACTGAACAGTCTTCGGCTGCTGGTAGCTCAGGCCCTCTAGGAGCTTCTTGCGGGGCAGAGCAGATATGTCAGTAGGTCTAACCAGCTCCGGAGAGCAGCGCTTTTTGCAGGGGCCTCGCTTCCCAAACACCTGATGCCCTGCTTTTCTTCCCCTCAGGTATGACCTCTGCGTGGCAGCTCTGAATGGGGCCATCTACACCATTGGAGGGGGGGCCTTTCGCTTCGACGTGTGCACTGATGAGTGGACACCCGTGGATGATGGCTTGGCCCAGAAGTTCTTTGAAGGATGCAGCACTGCCAATGGACGCATTTATCTGTTGGCAGAGAGGCGGGGGAATGCTGCGGTCCCAAACATGGTGATTCTGGACCCCTACAAGGAAGTGTGCCAGGAAGTGGACCACAAGCTCCTCTGCCCCCTCCCCATCCACGGAGTGGCCTCTGTGCGGAGATTCGACACCTGGGTGTGACAGGTGTAGTCAGGGTTGTCGCCTCCTTTCCAAAGAGAGCTTTAGGGCAGGGGCAAGTTCAGACTCCATGGAGGTCACGTCTGAGCCTCCCAGTTCTGTCAACATTGGCCCTGAGGCACGAGGAGGGATTTCTTTCACAGGGTCATGGAACATCTAGTCCAATCCCTGTCTAGTGCAGGAATCTACTACTGCTGTCTCCCCAACCGAAGGCTATCCAGCCCCTGTTGAAACGCCTCCCATGAAGAGTCCCCCACTGCCCAAGGAAGCCGGTGTCAGCGTTCAGCAGCCCTAACCACTAGGAAACTCTTCCCAGTGTCTGACGTCTGCAGGCTAAACGTACCCAACATCCCCAACTGTTCCTCATCGTTTTTCCTCTCCAGGTCCCGTGTCACCTTGTTTGCTCTCCTCTGGATAGGTCCCGCTTTTCCAATACCCTTCCCAAAATGCAAATAGGACTGAACGCTATCTGACGAATGCCAAATAGAGAGAAACAAGGACTTCTTTTGGTCTCGATTCGACCTGTGGATGCAGCCTAGGATGGCACTGCTACAAGAACTCTTGGGTAGATGCCCTTTAGCCCCAGGAATTGATTTAGTTTTATCAATGTGGCTGATTATTTATTTAGTCAATTTATATAATCACCCACTTAACGAACAGTGCCGGGCAGCGTACAGTTCAAACAACAATATCAAAGTAAAATAACAAAATACATAACAACATAGTAAGAGTTAATGCAGATTACATCACAGTCAGTTCAGCAACCAAAAGTGATCCATCCAGATCTGCTGATAAATCCTCCTGAGCGTTTTTTAGCAGAACAGCTTAATGACATCCCTGACTGGCTGCCTATTCTGAATATATTGGAAGATTTTTCAGGGTTTCCTTCTTAATGTTCTTCGCCAGGCCCTCCTCGAAGGGTTTGGGTGTTTTCTGCATTGTTTACGAACGCTTGCAGAGATGTTCCGCTTTGTTTTCTTCTTTGGCTTCGAATGGAGCCTCTGACCTTGCTCCTGAATTGCTCTGGTGCCCCTTGGACTTTCCAGAACTCTTCCTGATCTGAGGAATGTGTCCTAGCTGGGATTCTTTTATTATGGCTTTGCATCTTCCACAAGCATCGGACTGACCTTCCTGACTCAGCTCTTCAACTTCAAGTTTTTCACTCAGTTTGCTCTCCTGAAGTCACGAGTGTGTTGGACTTTCTCAGCAAGCACATGCTTACATCCACATGGATGAGGATAGCATTACGATCACTGTTACGTATCCCCCCCCCTTTTTTCAACAGACTGTTCTTACTATTTGGAATGGTTTATATCGTAGGGTAGAATTTCCTGATGACATATTATATGATTACATGTAATCTGAGTTAGTTCTATGTTTACCTTTAGGTACAACTTTCGGTTAGATTTCTGGTGTTAGGTTTTGGCTGGCTTCCACTGCCCTCTGCCAGGCTTTGTTGTAAGTGTGGGCAGGAGGAGGGGTGTGGAGGTGGTGGACTTGTTCTCCATGGAAACCCCAGTTTTTGCCCATTTTTTGTGGTCTGTTTCTGTTTTGTTGTTTTATATTCTTAATTTTAGGCTTATCTTTTTAAAGTCACAGGTTGGATTACCTGTTTAAATTAAAACTGTCTTCATATATATTTATATATTTTTAATGGTAGTATTTATTGCCTCTGAAGCTGGTTTATTATCTATGGCTTATGTGTACATTTACTTTAAACTTACATTCTTTACATCTTGAGGCTAAGCATACTGAGTTGGAATGTAAAAGGTGTGCAAAATAAGATACTTAGAAGTTGTATTGTCGAAGGCTTAGAAGTTGCTTCCATGTTCACAGGACAAACACTGGGGGAGATCTCTGAGCCCGAGCTCCTGTTCTCAGGAAGCGAATCAGAGAATGGAGTCAGTGCTGACAAGAGAAGAACTGACAAATTGTGCATCAGTAAATCAGCAGGTCCTGGTGCACCCGCTCTAGGGTTATTAAGGAGCTTAAGGCTGAGATTGTGGCTCTTCTAACTAAAATATACAAGCTGCCTCTGCCTCAGCCTCTGTAGTTGTGGACTGGAGGGTGACCAACATAACTCCATTTTTTAAGAAGGACTCATGGGGAGATCCAGGAAATTATAGGGCTGTCAACTTAATATCTGTTCCAGGGAAGATAGTGGAAACTGCTGTTAAGGATACAATTACCTAACAGTGGTAATACAAGTGAAGCAGCTGGGGTTATACCTTAGTAAAGATGTTAATTTGGTAGTGATGCAAGAATCTATTGACTCCTATGGACTTTTTCTATTCTTTTGAGGAGATGCAGTTTTGATTTAGTTCTTGCTAACTTTAATGGGCCCATAAAAATGATCCTGATTTATTTCATAGATCCCTTGCAAGGCTTCAAGGTATTCAAGTTGATTATTTAGTCTTGGGAGGTGATATCAACACAGTGATGCATTTAGAAATGGATTGGAAAATTCTTCCCAGAAAACACATAATCAGAATTGGAAAGTGTTTCAGGCTTATCTATGAGATATTAATCTGATTGATGTTTGGCGTAAACTTCAGCCTCATGCTAGGAAACATGCATACATTTTTTATGCTCTTAGAATGTGTTCCAGATTAGATCCTTTATTTCTCCTTTGCTACTGGAATGTTTTAGATTCTCCTATTCATCTTATGTCAGGCCCTGTGCCAATTACATTAACCCTTCAATTCAAGAATGTCAAGCTATTCTATGGTAGGTGGTATCTTAATACTTCTGTCAAAAGTTGATGGCTTCTTAAGTTATATTAGACAATTAACTCCAGTTACAATTGGATGAGTTTTAGGCTGATAAGGTTGACTTCTCATTGAATAGACACAAGCTAAGATATTGGGAGTTAGGTGAAAAAGCCAGTGTTGTACCTCAAGTGATTTACGTCATGAGAAGCAACCCTATGTTGATTCCAAATAAATTTCTTCAGAATTTCAGATAAGTTATTTAGGACATTTATTTGGGAAAATAGACCACCAAGGATTTCATTAGCTAAATTTAAATTACCAATTGATGGTGGTGGTTTTAATTTACCAGACTTACAAAACTATAATTGGCTTATATTTTATCAGCCACAAGTATGTGGAATGAGAATCGCATCCTTTATGGGCCTTGCTGGAAAGCCATTCCTACTTCTCTTGCGGTCCTGAAAGTTCTTGGATCAACATACAGTAGAAAAGATTTTCTATTTCCAGGAGCATGTGCTGTGAGAAATCTTGGGGCTTTATTGGGGTGTAGATGTTGAGACTCATGAATATTTAATATTTTTGGAAGAATTCTACGTTAAAAATAGGCGGTAAAGCATTTTATTGGAAAGTATGGGTGGAAACCAGGATAATGACTAAATCAGTTGTTATGTAATGATTTTAAAGGATTTTTCTTGGCTTCAAACTAAATTTGGAGTCTCTAGTTTACAACAGCGGCAGTTCTTTCAAGTGAAGCCTATTTTGATGGCCTAGCATAGGCCAGATGCCTTGGCAGCTTCCAAGGCACCTGAGGACCTTTCTCATCTGATGGAATCTACGGTGGAAGTCAAACCCACAATATAACTTTACCAAAAGAAAGAATGTTTTTAAAGGGAATACCAGTGGGATTTATCAATCTTGGACAAAAGCATTGGAATCTCTGGTAACGCCACATCAATGAGTTGTTGTTCAGTCGTTAAGTCGTGTCCGACTCTTTGTGACCCCATGAACCGCATCGCGCCAGGCCTTCCTATCCTTCACTGCCTCCCTGAGTTGGCTCAGTTTCCTGCTCATTGCTTCAGTGATGCTATCTAGCCATCTCGTCCTCTGCCGTCCCCTTCTCCTTTTGCCTTCCATCTTTCCCAGCATCAGGGTCTTCTCCAAAGAGATCTCTCTTCGCATTAGGTGACCAAATTATCTGAGCTTGAGCTTCAGTATCAGTCCTTCCAATGAGCAGTCAGGGTTGATTTCCTTTAAGATTGACTTCAATGAGTGCAAGTCTAAAAAATGTTAAACTGACATTGATAGATTTGAAACTAAAATTGATTAATCAAAAACTGGACTCCTCAAGGAATGTATTTAAAAGAACGGACATGGGATTGTTGGAGGGATCACTGACCCATATAATCTGGGCCTATGAACGGTTGGTATCTTCTCAGAATAAGATTTAAATGTAGGTAAGTAGATTTATGGGGAAATCCCTAAATATTAAAGATGTTAATGTAATGCTGAATTACATCGCAAATTTTGGAATCTGACTGTCTTTGAGGCATAATTTTGAGAAACTGGAAAACTGATATTATTCCAGTAATTAAAGACTGGCTTTTAGAAATGTGTAATTTCAGAAAAGACAATATTTTCAAATATCAGAAAATGAAGTACAGCAATATGTTCTTCTTTGGTATAGATTTTATATTTTACAACAACAGAGTAATATTTTTAGGTAATGGTATTTCTTGTA